GAAACGAACAGGCCGCTTGGGAGAGCTCGTGTTGGGACAGCCCTCATGGCCACGGAGCCTCGCAGCTGGCGCATCAGCAAAAACAGTGACCGTCTCCACAACGAGGCTGCTTGGGCCAAGCTCCACCTGTGGGCCCAGCAGCCCAGCCTGTCCTTTGTCTCCTCCGTTTCCGGGCCCTGTTGAGGTGCAGATCTGGGAGGGTGTCTCTCTTCTAATAGAGAGCAGCGGGTTTGTCAAGTAGAGAAATCTGATCAGGCCGACCGATGTGTGTTTCAGAATGCAGGGGCCATGTCTCCGCACCGTCCGCTTCCCAGGTGGCACGGCCCAGCCCACGGGGGCCACTGCTGGAAGCCACGAAACCGGCCAGCAGTTTTCATCTCTTTTTCGTAATTAAGTCTGTAGGCATTCTCTTTAGTTGTGAGGAAGCTTTCCTCTGGGCCCTTCGAAACGGTAAGTGTGGGGATGGGGTGAAGGCACATAGCAGGTGTTTTTCTGTTCTGTGACTGAGCGCCGCGTCCCTTTCAGTGGGGCCCTTGCGGGATCCGGGGCTGCCTTGATGGGGGGGCGGGGGGAGAAGAAGGGAGGAAGACGTTTAAAGAGCGCGACCTTTTCCTGCCTGGAGTCCTGAGGCAGGGAGCCAGAGAGCCCTGAGAAGGGAGGCCCCCTGCATGACCACTATGGACCAGCTGCACGCGGGGTTCGGTGGCCCGGGAGTCCCTTCTCGTGTCGGAATTCAGATTCCACGGCCCAGCATTCCTCAGCAGAGCTTTCTGAGAGGGCGGCCTTGCAGGACACCTACCTGCTCTGGGCCCCAGAGGGGCTGATTCCTCCTGTGACTCACACACTCCAAAATCCTCTCCTCCCCATTCCCTGCCCCAGTTACAACGATAGGTAGGCTGTTGGTTTGGCTTTGCTTTTTTTTTTTTAACCCCCTCTTTTACACCAAGGAAATACTTTTAAACTTTTTTCTGTTTAGAAAATTATGCAGAAAATTAACATTGATGGATTCTGGGTGGTGGCGGCTCAGAACAAGAAACTCGTCTCGTTTCCTTGTCATCCCTCTGCCTGCTGGCTTGGGGCCCGGCTCCTTCTGTAGGCTGATAGGAGAGCGGTTAGATGCTGCCTCAGAGATGACCCGCACCGCCCGTGGCCAGTGTTGGATGCGTTTGCTGTGTGAATGAATGCGAGTCACCTCCTGCTCCCCTAGGGGAGTCTGAAGCCTCATTTCAAGCCGCTGGCTGTGATGTGTCCCATTGGACCCCTCCAGCCGGCCTGGAGGGCATTGGGCCCCACAGGGGGCACAGCGAAAGGAGACATGAGACCTTTACACTTCATAAAATACCCATTAGAACTATTAATACATTTACTTATTAAATTCTTTTATCCTCATCCTTTTATTTGCCTGTTTTGTACAGTTACATATTAGTGTACACATGCCGTTTACAATAAACACGTTCATACTCAGTTTTATACTGGGATGTAGGATCAGATTGTTGGGAGGCCACTGCTGGGGGAACCGGCCTTGCTCCATCCTGCTTTCCCCGCAGTGGGCGGGAACATTCTCTAGCAAAGGTCTGGAAACTACCAGGACTTCATGTATTCTGAAGTTAGTCTTGAAACTCGCAGATGAAGCAGACAGGGCAAACGGTCCAGGTTGGGGTTTACTGTTCTCCTTGGTAAGACATGAAGAAACGAATAAAGCGAAGCCGAGAGAGGACTGGCCCAGATGTTTTTGTAACTGCAGACGTAACTTCAGTTTCGGCTGAGCTCTTCCTAGAGCTCCACGATGTTTGAAAGCCGACAAAGAACGGTTGTCGGCAGATGTTGTCTGCAGGCCCCCCCGGGCCAGTTTTGCAGATGTGAGCACCACGCAGCTGCCGTTGCATTTGGAGAACAGTGCGGCCTGTCTCCACCTGCAGTGGGCTCTCTGGCCGCGGAGTGAAAGGCAGCGGCTGAGGGGCAGGCCTGGCCTCACACCTGCTCCCGGCTCTGTGTGATGACAGGCTGGCGTGGGGGGTACAGTTAAGAGGAGCCGTGGAGCCCCTCCACACACTCTTCTGCTTGAAGAAAGGAGTCCCCCCAAGAGCAAGGGAACAGTGGGTGAAAAAAGGAAACTGCTCTTGTGACCTTTTACTCGTTTATGTACCAGATACTCCTTTAATGCTTCCCAGCCAGGCATTGTTCTCAGTATATTGCTTTAAAAATAGGAACTCAGTTATTCTTCACCACGATCTTAAGAGCTGGTTAGTAGTATTGGACCATTTCACAGATGAGGAGTCTAAAGACCAGAGAGGTGGCATCATTTGCCTGGGGTCACACAGCTGGTCAGTGGCAGAGTAGGGCCACACTGCACCTGTCTTGATACGAAGTCCCACTTGTATTTCTTCTAGTGGAGATTCTCATATCTTTCAGAATTATGTTAGTTTTTGTTTCGTTTCACAAGAGGCCTTTCTAAAAAATATATGTAATATGTACATGTAATGTTATTATAAAAATGGTGTTACGCTGTTTTCCATTTTTTGAGCACTTACTGTGGGCAGGTCCTCCTGTGCCAGATGTTCTCTAGACGTGAATTCTAATCCTTAAGCCCATTTCATAGAAGGGAAAGTGGATGACAAGAGCTGGTCACTCAGCAGACATGCCCAGCCAAGATAGGAACCCAGGTCTGCACACAGCTCTTTGTTATAAGACAATTAAGTATAAACAGGTCCTTCTTGATCCCCCACCCAGGGAGATGGTTAGTTTCACAAAGCACCCAGAGGACCCTGTAGCATAGCAGTGCCCGGAGGGGGGTGGCCCAGTTAGCCAGGGGAAGTGCCATGTTCTGCCCGGCGTCCCCACGCTGGTGATCACTCCCACAGGCGGCCCCCTACCTGCCCCACTGGGGGCTGGATGCCGCATGGTTTCCAGGTGACTGTGTCCACAGCTTCAAGCCCTCAGGGTCTGGCTCCTTTTGATCCAGTGGAGTTTTGAAGTTCTATCTTCTGGGCTTCATTAAGCCCTCCCGTGGTCTGAGGCTCCCCCGCCCCCCAGGTGTAAATGTTGCGTGGTTCCTGGTATTCAGGTTCACAAATTAGCCCAATTAGATGGGTAAATTAGTCATTCTACTTTCTGAAGTCCGGCTGGAGGAGCTTTGTGAAATAGCATTTATAGTTTTCTAACAAGCAATTTAAAGGACACCAGCATGTGGCATTTGTTTAAGAGTAAAATGTCCTAAACAATGCCCTACTTAAAAACAGATCGCGAAATTTGCTCACAGACTTAGAAACGTGGCCAAGCACACCCCTGCATGGTCTCATACAAGCCCTTCCAAACGGGGTCTCTTCTTTCTCTTCTTTCGGGAGGCTACAGCCGAACACGACAGAGTTACTGAAACCCACATTTAATTTCCAAAACCTCCTTTTGCCAAATTGTTTTTTTCTGCACCACCCAAGAGTTTCTAAACAGGCTTCAAAACAGACTGCTCTGAATTCCATCTGAGTGGTAGACGGTGAAGAATTAGCAACTCAAAGGAGGCTGCGAGGGCCAGCCTCGGGGTGCTGCTGGCATTGGCAGCTGGGAAGCAAGACGGGAAAGCAGTGTCCCCAAAGAGCCAATAGAAAATGCCTAAGCTCTTGAACCTCTCTGGACTCAGTTTCCTTGTGTTCAGGGAAGTGACAGCTCCCCCCCGCCCCCCCCACCTCACAGGGCCACTGGCCAATTCAGTGAGACAATGCATCGAATGTGCCCGAAACACAAGAGGCAGTCAGTCAACTTGAGGTCCCTTCCTTCCTTCTTGGGTCCTTTTAAGTGTTCGCTTCAGAGGCCGGCGTCCTTGTGCCTGGCTCAGTTGGCTCTTCAAACAATCTTATTAATGCCTATTAAAATGAAACCCAATAAAAATGCCAATATTTGGTGTTGAAATAATTGATGTAGCAGAGACAGACCACGGAGCACCCAGGCAGGCCCCTGGTGCCGTTTAGCCTCACACCTGGGGGATGAATTTCACAACTGTAATTGCTACCATATAATTCTTATTAATGTTGTGCTATAATTCCTATTTATTCCACGGGGCTTGTAAATGCATTAAGACTTGTCAACATATTATTTTACACTGTTTATGATCTGTAGAATTATGTCCTTCAGGGTTGCATTGTGCAAAAGCTCAAAATGCTTTGGGCCTCATTAAAAAAGAGCAAAAAGTGGCTGCTTGTTGAAGTGCTTCTCCATCCCCACCGTCCTGAACAGAAGTCCATGAAGGAGATTTTAAACTCCATTCTGAGCAGAGCTCTTAACCTTGGGAATACAAGTGAATTCCCTCCTCCCATCTGAGCTCGGATGGGACAGCCCACCCCCCCGGGGAATGCTGTATGTGGCCAGAGAGACAGGTGTCCTTCCCTGGGGACAGATGTGGTCAGGAATTGTTTGGGCTCCCGTGATCTTCCATGGGCTGGGACCTTGTATTCTGACCTTGAGTTTGGCTCAGAGCTTCAGGCGTTTCTGTCCACCTGCTCCCTAGCTTGGGGTCACCCCCTTTTAGTTCCAAATTTCCTCATGGTCGTCTTGGCTCAAGCTCTAAAGAAGAAGATTTGAAATTAATTTCCACCAAAGTGTAGATACCTAATAAGTGTAAAATGTAATCCCGTCCCACAGACTTCTGCATTTACTACGCCGGTAAGCGTGAAACATGGAATGTCAGCCACAGCATGTGTGTGTGTGTTGGGGCAGGGGTGTCTGTCGTCCTCGGTGTGGGCCTCACAGCCTCCCCAGCACCTCCGCGTCACAGACTGGCCTGCCACAGAGTCAGGTTCAAGCTCTTGCTCAGCTAATTCCCGGCCATGAATGGTTGGGAAACCCTTAATCTGCACGTCTCCGCCCTCACTGGAGTGCTCTCCCCCGGGGCAGGAGGCCCATCTGGTCACTGCCATGCCTCCTATCCTGGGGCTGGCGGGGGAGCAGACTGGAGGGAAGCACAGGCCAGGACGGCTGCTGACTGTCCTTGCCCTTCTCTGGCCCTGCAGGCAGCGAGTACGACGAGGAGGAGGTGGATTACGAGGAGTCGGACAGCGATGAGTCCTGGACCACGGAGAGCGCCATAAGCTCTGAAGCCATCCTCAGCTCCATGTGCATGAACGGAGGGGAGGAGAAGCCTTTTGCCTGCCCGGTTCCTGGATGTAAAAAGAGATACAAGGTAAAAGCAGGACCACCTCCCTCGGCATAACCGCATTAACTGCATGGGAACCGGCAGGCCCCCGTCGGGGAGCAGCTCCTCACTTCTGGAGAGAGCCTCCCTCCCCTGGGCCGACGGTGCCTGGTCCTCACGGAGACGTGGGCCTAGGGACAGGCAGGCCCCTGGGTTCTGGGTGTTTGGTGGGGTTGTCCCTTTTGCTGATCCAGCTGGAAGCTATAGGTCAAAAGAAGGGTTTGTTTGGTAGGAGGATCGTGTTTTTGACATTCTTCAAACTCCTGTCCTATCAGAATACCAAGCGTGTCGCCTGTTTATGCCACACACCTTCCCCAGCAGTCGGCTTATGCAGGTGGCTCACGGAGGACGACTTTGAAGTCTTAAAGGTGGTAGACGGAGGGTTTTTAGCTTTCAGCCCAGGAAGTTCGTGCTCCCTTCCCCGTGACCCCACCACCGGCATGAAAGATCAGGAGAAAAGGGGGCTTTGATATTTTTCTCACCAAACCGCCCACTTCAGCGCTCTGTCGGTGACAGAGGACACAGAACCCATGTCTCTGAGAACCTGACTGGGTGTCACACGCGGCCAGGGACACTAAATTTTCTATTAAGAAAACTCAAAGGGAGGGCGCCTGGGTGGCTCAGTTGGTTGGGCGACTGCCTTCGGCTCGGGTCATGATCCTGGAGTCCCGGGATCGAGTCCCGCATCGGGCTCCCTGCTCGGCGGGGGGTCTGCTTCTCCCTCTGACCCTCTTCCCTCTCGTGCTCTCTGTGTCTCATTCTCTCTCTCTCAATAAATAAAAAATCTTTAAAAAAAAAAAAAAAAAAGAAAACTCAAAGGGAAAAAACACAACATTCAAGGGTTGGTCCACAGGGCACCTTAAAAAAGCAAATTTGCACACTTTCTCCTGAGGCGTTTGCAGTTGTTTAAAATCCAGCTGGGAGATGGAAATCTAAAAATCAGGAACCTGTGTGTGGTACATTTGACGATATGCTAATTTACCCAGAGCTCAGCAGACTGACTTTTTTAAAAAGGCTTAAAAGATGTGCAATGCATAAGCACTTCTCATACGGCTCTGAAACGTGTCCCTGAACACCAAACAAAACAAAACAACCCCTATTTCAGTATTTTTTGTACCGGCTGCTGATCTAAAAGTGGCCGAGGCTTTGCCTGTAGAAAATAGGCGACAATGTTCTCATGGAAAGGCCGGGTATGCTCTGTTTAAAACGAAGATGCCTGGGCGGGGGCGGGAGGATCCCCTCGGGGCTCGGGAGCCGCTCAGGGCAGGACGGGACTCAGAGTGGCGCACGTCGGTTTTCTGTGTCCGACTTGTGGAAGGCGTGGAAGGTGGAGAGGGGGAAAGGCCACCAGGTGGTTACCTCAAGAGGCCAGAAAGCAAAGGGATTGCCAGACAGGCTCGTTTTTCCGGAAGGTAGCCCCGGCACTGCAGAGTGTTTTCCTTCTTTTTTTGTTTGTTTGTTCGTTTCAAAGTGGAGAAAGCTAGACCGAGAGGGTTCTGTTCTCGATTCCTACCTGCTCTCCAGATGCCACGTCTCTCCCCACGGCTTCACAGAGCCGTTCCTCGGGGCTGGGCCGCTGGCTGCCTTCTCTCAAGCATCCAGACGCTGTTTAAGGGATGTCATGCACATCCACTGTGTTCAGAGAGGGAGCAGATATGAGCCAGACTGAGGCTGGCCCAAAAAAGGGGGGTTGAGGTGGGGGAGAAGCCACAGCCTTTATTCTGGCTGAAGAGCAAAAGGCACTCCCACCTTCCCACCAGCTTCATTCCTTCCTCACAACCTTTTTCCCCCCCGCCCCGGTCACTTGTTTGCTTGTCATTAGTCTTTTGCCATTCTTTTTCCTGGGTTTCCAGCAATTTCTCCTGCAGTTGTCTACATCTGGGTTGATGGGGACTTGAGTGCTCTTTCTGCCCCGAAGGCCAAAAGAAAATTGAGTGAGGCCTGGGCTGCGGAGGCTGCCTGCTTCAGCACCACCAACTGACAAATGACATGGGCGGCAAGTAGTGGTCCCGATTTCCATGAGGGAAGTGTGAGTTTCCTTTTCCGGGCCAGAATGCCCGGTCATGATACATGGGACAAGGACAAACATGTAACCACTCCTCCTAACCGTCTGCTTGAGGAGCGTGGTCATGTTCCCTAGTGTGACCTTTCTGCTGGGAAGTTACTGGGCACAGGGCAGTGGTGTTCTCTCGTGTAGTTACTGCATCTTATTGACTGCAGGATTGCTGGACTGGGTGTTGGTTTGAGGAGGGTCTAATGAGCTGGTGTGCTGTGGGGTCAGGCGGAATCCAGAAGTGCCGCCATGTTGTTTATCCCCAGGGCTCACTTCAGACTTGTCTCATTCCTTGCCCGCTGATGGCAGAGAGTCTCTAACCACTTAGCCTCTTGGGCACGGACTCCAGATCAGCTCTTCTCACCATTTCTTGGCATTTGCAGAAGCAAAAGATGAGGTATCTAACTTTCCAGACTTCCTACTGAGCAGGGCAGGAGAGGGGCCCAGCAGGACAGCTGAGTCTCCATGTTGTTTCCCATATTAATCCCGTTGCCTAGGATGCCCCCTTCCCCTCTTCCATCAGTACATCTCATTTGAATGCCCCTCATTTCTCAAGGCACAGCTCAAATGCCACCTGCTCTGGAAAGCCCTCACCAGTTTCCCAGACTGAGTCCCCACTCATAGAATGAAGTTCTATCCCCTGACCTTTCTACATGCTCCGTTGATATCACTAGAGAGCACTTACTGCCTTATCACCCCAAGGGTCCGTTTAGCTCATAGACCCCTCCTCAGCACCAGGCACAGGTCTTGGGCAAGTAGATACTCTGAAGATAAAGGAACAGAGGCAAAATGCATGGGGAAGAGGACAGTGTGGGCCCCCCCCAGCTGACCACCAGAACCCCAAAGCAATTGGATGATTCATTCTGTTGGATTTGTCTCAGACACGTTCCAGGGTGAACATCTGATCCCGCCCACCTTGGTGCGAGGCACTTTTTTTTTTCAGACTTCAGACGAGAGAGAGAGGACTCCCCAGCTTATAAGTGGGAATGGCTTCAAAAGATGGGTTGAAGTGCTTCCTTTGATAGTTTTTAATATTAGAGTTATTAGAATTAAAGGCATTTTGCTACTTTCAAGAACTAGAAAGCAGGGGCGCCTGGGTGGCTCAGTCGTTAAGCGTCTGCCTTCGGCTCAGGTCATGATCCCAGGGTCCTGGGATCGAGCCCCACATCGAGCCCCACATCAGGCTCCCTGCTCAGTGGGAAGCCTGCTTCTCCCTCTCCCACTCCCCCTGCTTGTGTTCCCTCTCTCGCTGTGTCTCTCTGTCAAATAAATAAATAAAATCTTTAAAAAAAAAAGAACTAGAAAGCAGAACAAGCTGTCCCCTGAGAAGTTTCTCTGAAAGGGTCCCTGCGCTACCTGGGGAACGCTATGGTTTCAGCACCATGAAGGAAGCTTGGCCTCTGCTGTCTAGATACACAGCCAGGCAGGTGTGTTGCTGAAGGTTTTCTGAGAAGGGCACTTCAGCCATTCTCCCCGCTCAGTGGATCGAAACCTCCTTGCCTCTCCTAAGGGTCCCATCAGAAGCCCTGCGGGGGGCATACCTGACCACCTTTCTGGGTTGCAACTTGGCAGTAAATAATCAGAACTTTTAAAAAGTATCTGTATTCCTTAGCTCCATAATTGTCTAAGAAATGTATCCCAGGCACATCACCAGGGATGCAAAACTTGATATACAAGGTATTCATCACATTACTTACAGTCAGCACAAATTTGGGAAATACTAAATTTCTGGGACGCCTGGGTGGCTCAGTCGGTTAAGCGTCTGCCTTCAGCTCAGGTCATGATCCCAGGGACCTGGGATCGAGTCCCGCATCGGGCTCCTTCCTCAGAGGGGAGCCTGCTTCTCCCTCTGCCTCTGCCTCTCTCTCTCTATCTCTCATGAATAAATAAATAAAATCTTTAAAAAAAAAAAAAAAGAAATACTAAATTTCTAACAATAGGGAAATGTAATAAAATCCTGCCAACAAAATCCTTTCAAAAAAATATGTAATGATGAATCCAATCTCGTTTTCTTTCAGGGGAAAATACTGAAAGATGTTAGTGATTATACCTGTTCTTTATGTCCCTTTGTATTTTCTAAATTTCGGCAGTTGCCTACCCTGGACACAGATTGCTTTAATAGAGCGAGTTAAAAAAAAATGGGATTCCCGCCTGACTCATCCCGCATGTTGAGTCCGGTCCGGAGCGACTCGCTTTCTCAGCTCGTGGGCTGCCTGATGTCACCACGCTGCTGCAAGAGGCTTTACTTGCCATGCTGACATTACCACCCCCACCCACCCCAGCTTCGGTCTCTTCTTTTTCCTTCCTCATCAAAGCCCTGTGACTCCATCCTCTCCTTTATGTAGACCATCTCCTTATGTAGAACGCCCAGCTTGGCGCCCAGACTTTGTTTCATGATTTGATCTGGAGTGGCATTTTGAGAGGCGCCTCTAAACGGTTTGTTGTCCATTGACTGGTTCAGCTCCCTCATTAGGGCAGGTAGTTCCTGATGGTAGAACCTGGCATGGAAATGAACGGATGCCCTCCTTGCCTGGCCCCCCCCGTCAGGCCCTCCCTTGGACCTCCTGCCCAGCCCTTTCCTCCACATGGTAGCCCCGTGTCAGACCACTGTAATTCATAGACCATTTTCTCCAGATGGAGTGACCTGTCCCAATCCTTCCCAACTTTTAAGATTTTTCAAAGACCACCAACTGGTTGTACTAATTACTGAGTACCTAGCACTTCAGGTACATGGAATTCTGGGGGAAATGTGGGTTCTGCAATCAGGCATGCCTGGGTTCCTATCCCAGGTCTCAGGTCTATCATTCCCCTGCTCACTCACTGTCTCGGAGTGTCTGTTTCTCTAAAACATGAGTACTGGTTAAGAAACGAGACATCAAATACTCAGCATGAGCAGCTCTTGTTACTGCCCTTCCTTCCCCCCCTTCCTTTTTCTCCCTTGCCCTTTCGAAGTTAGTTCCCTTTCTCTTTTCAGAAACCAGAGGATTGAAGAATTTGGTTTTCTTTTTTTTTTTTTTAAAGATTTTATTTATTTATTTGCGAGAGAGAATGAGAGACAGAGAGCACGAGAGGGAGGAGGGTCAGAGGGAGAAGCAGACTCCCCGCTGAGCAGGGAGCCCGATGTGGGACTCGATCCCGGGACTCCAGGATCATGACCTGAGCCGAAGGCAGTCGCTCAACCAACTGAGCCACCCGGGCGCCCCTGAAGCATTTGGTTTTCAAGTTGCGTGCCATTATTTATTTTTGTTCATATTTCTTTTTTTTTTTTTTTTTTTTTTTTAAGATTTTATTTGACAGAGAGAGACACAGCGAGAGAGGGAACACAAGCAGGGGGAGTGGGAGAGGGAGAAGCAGACCCCCTGCCGAGCAGGGAGCCCGATGCGGGACTCGATCCCAGGACCCTGGGATCATGACCCGAGCCTAAGGCAGTTGCTTAACCAACTGAGCCACCCAGGCGCCCCATTTTTGTTCATATTTCTGAAAGACCAAACTTCTTTCAGGATCTCTGTAATTATAAATGTCAGTGAATCTTTTTAAATCCCAAGTGTTAGAAAGTTCCCATTGCTATATGTGAATGAACAGATGGGGCAGACGGTGAATCGCATTGGAGCTTGTACTAACATTTGTGATAAGGCTGTCCCACTGACACTCGTGAACATTGTAAATCACAGCAACAGAGTTAACGTGGGTTTTTTAGGTTCTTTAGCCAACCCTGGAAATGCCACGTGTTTCCACATGTGCAATTGGCTTACTGATTTTTCCAGAGTAATAAAGCAAATGTATGGAGTTAGCTGTGTTTTCCTCACAGTCTCATGGCCAGACACACAATACGGTGTTTACAGTCAAGCTGGGAACAGACCACAGAACCTGCTGAAATCACCTCAACCTTGGGCTTGTCCTTCTGGCAAACACTGGATCTGGTCATGTTGGACTGGCTTCTTGTGGCTTTAGCAATTTCTGGTTTCAAACTTCCCATCACCTAATTATAAAAAATCAGGCCTGGATGGAGTATTTAAGCTTGTTGGTCAAATGTTTTTATTTTGGGTTCCCCCTATTTTCTGACGAATGTCCGTGGTACTGGGACACAGGGGTAGCTGGATATTTATTGACCCATCGTGCAACAAGTTCCCTGTGAAATCAAGGACATGAAATGTTTGTCACCTTTCATCTACAGAAAAGGACCCTACTAGGTGCTCAGTGAATATCTGTTGAGCTAATAAATGGGCTATTAGCAAGCAGACAAATGCAAATTTCTAGTTTTTGTGATCCAAGAGACTTCCTACTATATTGTTACTTAGAAAGCCGATGGTGCTTTTCTAAAACTGTTATTATCTGTCATGGTTCTGTGGGTTGCCGGGCACCAGCTAGGTGGTTCTTGCGTGGGTGTCTCATGCAGTTGCAGTAAGAGGTCAGCTCAGGCTCGACACAGAAGTTGGCTTTTACTCAAATCCCTCAGCTTCCGTTGGGATGGCTGGAACAGCAGGAGGCTGGCAGGGGTTATCTACCCATCATCTTAATGGGTCTGATTCTGCCACTGTCCCTGCTCTCCCGATAGCCCACCACAGCACGTTATCCCCAGAATGCCTCTAGAACAACAGTGAGGGGTCCTCACCCTGCAGGGAGGGACTGATGAATGAACAGAAACAAAGGTGAAGAAGGCCGAGAGCCAAGTTCAGGGCAGAGGGTATTTGTCCTTGTGCTTTGACTTGGTGGACAACCGTCAGTCCGACTCTGAACACAGCCAACTGGAGTTGCCGTTTGGCACCCGTGGGTTCAACTAAGTCAAGTGGGATTCTCTACCAAAGGACTTTTAAAAAGTATTAATGTGCATTATGAATCTCTAAAAGGGAAATGTAAATAGTAATAACCACTCAACACATTTTAATGGCAATTCCCAACTTACTCCAGAACAGTGAACCACGTTCTAACAAATTCACTCACAAATGCTCGTTGAGCATCTACTGTGGGCCAGGCAGTGTGCTAGATCTAGCTCATGAAACAACAGCTGTCCATCCCTATATGTGGGAGCTCAGTAAGGGCATCTTACGAATAAAGTTCAAGACCACTGTGTTGGAATCCTTCAGGTGGGCTTAGGACTAGGCTCATTGGGATTAAATTCATAGAATACTTTAGGAAACAGCCTACTCTTCCCGGTAATCAATTCTCAACAACTTTGTCTCAAGCCCTTTCTTTTCTCTTCCCTTATTCCCAAATCTGGCAATAGCTGACTTGAGAATTGAGACCCATGCCCTAACACCACCTCTGCCATTTATTCTTTAATCTTCCATCAGTTACTCAATACCTATTTTCTCAGCATTTAATTGGGATGAACAATAGTAAAGTAAGTCTGTAGGAGTGATTCTAGGCATGGAGTCTTACAGCAAAACCAGTTAGTAGAAAACCAGACAGCATTTTGATATTTTGTTTCACTTGGGATTTGTACACCACTTTGAAGTTTGGAACTCTTATGTTGCTGAGACTTCCATAATCTAAGTTTTTAAAGTTTATTGTATGTTTGAAATGCAGTACATAAACGTAAGACCCAGTCTACCCATAGGTGCTTATTTAACACAACTATGCTAGGGCATGATTTGGGCACGTAAGATAGGTTCTTCCCACAGCTGTCTGGAAGCGAAACATGAGCTATGTTTCTATATTAAGGATTTATAGATGTCTTCAATTCTATTGCCTGTGTTTTTTCTTTAAAAAGACAGTTTTTTGGCCACCCTAAGGATATGTTATATAATTGTTTGTTGTTAACACTCTTCCAAGTAGAAAAATCCACAGGGGAAGCAAAGTTCTAGGCAGAGGAAAGTGCCTCCTTATACAGTCTTAAATATATATTCTGTGTAGAATTTGAGGAAGCCAGTACTTTCATTTTCAGAGTAAGGGCATAGTTTGCGACCCAGTCTGCACAGCCCACAATTACATTCGACTGCTTGAAATGGAGTTCTTGCAAAGCCTACTAGGTACACTCCTGCCATCCAGGAGATGTCCAGTTGTAATCCAGACCCACACCAAGGTTTTCCCCCGTCTGACACTTCGATTGCATCTAATAGGTGATCTTTTTGTCTTCTCCACAGAATGTGAATGGCATAAAGTACCACGCTAAGAATGGTCACAGAACACAGATTCGTGTCCGCAAACCATTCAAATGTCGTTGTGGTAAGAGTTACAAGACAGCTCAGGGCCTGCGGCACCATACAATCAATTTCCATCCCCCGGTGTCGGCTGAGATTATCAGGAAGATGCAGCAATAACATGCTGGTCGTAACTGTGCCAAGAAATCCTCACCAGCAGTTGCTGATTTTGAAAACAGCCACCTTTTTTCAGGGGAAGCATTCAGCAACCCTTTAAAGAATTAAATGCATGCTTTAAATTTTTTCTGTAATTTTGGAATGATGTATCTTTGTAGTTGATTTTGTACATTTGCACATGTAATCATCATACCCATTTTCATTACTTTGATATAAGGTGCTAAAAAAAAGCTCTAGGTTCTTCAGCACATTTCCCCCAAAATAAAATTGAGGGCATGTTGCATATTATTTAGTTGTATTGCAGTGATATCAATGGGGGGAGGGGCTGGCACTGAGATTTTTTTTCCCCAAGATTGTAATGTGATTGAAGTTTTTCAACACATCAACTCACTATGTTCAAAACCAAAATAATACCTTCATTATCAAACTGGTTACCATGCCTTACATAATATAGTTAGTTGTGAGTAGAAAGACTTTAGGTAATGGAAATATAAATAAGAATGTTTAACATAATATGCTAAAAATATTTTCATATTTAAATAACATACATAAAAGGTGTGCTTTCTGTGTTTTATATTATCTTGCAAATCCTTTTGCCCCTTAAGCTGAAAATCTTGCCATCTGACTTACCAATCATTTTAGTGTTATAAATGGCATTTTTGTACAGAATAGTCTCTTCAGTTCACTCATTAACACACATTCATTGAGTGCCTGCTGGGTGCAAGGGATTTGGTTTATGCCTGTTGATATTTCTGGACCAAGATACCAGTTTAGTGAAATAATACTTTTCCCTAAAATCTGTTAGAAAACACTTTGAAATACTTAAGTGCAAATTTTGTGTGTGTGAAATTTAGTTCTAGCTTCATCTTTAGGTGAAGTTTTAAAGCACTTTGTAGTTCTCTATTGCCAACAGATTTAATGTTTTATGTGTTGCCAATTCTCGCAACCACTGCCCTAACAAAACTGTGGGTTGCAAATAATGAAAATTCCAAGCACGTTTCAAAGAGAACATTTTTCTTAAGACCCCTTACTGCCTCTTCATGCTCATTGTGTTTTTAGACTTTTTTTTAAAGGCACTTTTTCCATCACATTGTAGAGGTCTGTATTCCCATTGGAAATATCTGTTTAGCTTTATAAAACATTTTGCTGAAATACAAAATTGAGCCTTATTGACAATTAAGTGCTTCTTGCAGCAGGTGGTCAAAGAGAGTGACCTACGTCTGGACCATTCCTGAAGTTTTTCTCACCAACAATACCATCATGCCTTGAGTGTTCTTTTCTCCCAAGTGCTATTCCTTAAACATGCAAGAGTTTACCAACTGCCTCATTATGCAATAAAAATTGCTCTGAGATGATGGCTAACTAACTGCCCACAAAACTGGTGAAAAGCAAGCTCAAACTGCTTATAACTTTCTTCCCATGTTCCCATTTCATGAAAGTCTTACAGCTGGGAAGCAGGTGTCCCTCAATTTTTCAGACAGTTCGAAAGGATGACAGTTCTGCTGGCCAGACGGGTAAGCTTCTATATTCTTAAGTTGTGAATCCCTCATAATGAGGGATTTTAAAGTATTTATAAAGACACTGCCCTCTAAAAATTTCCTCAGATCTATGAAGAGTGGTCTTGGTCCTGAATATACAGTGTTATTTAAAAGGGTGATCAGACATGAGAAGCAACTAGTTGGTGCATAAGAAGGCCCTACTTGGTTATTTCATATCTACCTACAATTGACCAAAATTTTTTAGGCCAGCAATTATTATTTAGCTTCGCTCCTTCTAGCGCAAGAAACTGTAGGCTGGATCAGTAGTTCAACAGCTAAAGTCATAAAATAGTCATTGTGCATGTTAAATTTCTTTCAACTATAAAACAAATTCAATTTCTATTTGCTTATTCATTGTGACAGTATTACTAAACAGGTAAGGATGGGAATATTTTGTTATACCGTGTATAGTGAATGTATTGTACTGTGTCTGTGAAAACTGTGCTTTAAATTATATTTTCGTATGTTTTGTTGGGGACAGAGCACATTAAGTTTGAAAGCAACAGAGGTTTGTTTTAGAAGTGAAGGCAACTTAATCAAAATTGCTGTCAAGAAAAGCTGCTTATAAATGTAAATGAAATCACATTTAAAATAAACTGCCTCTGACCCAAAATAAACATGGCTCTTTATTAGTGTCCATTACCACTCTAGTATTGGAAGGATACTTTTAAGATTGGCATGCTCCATAATTAAATGATGCAACACGAAAATGCTACCACTGACCATATTTTACCTGCATCTCCAAGGGAGGGAAGACGTGGAGTCTTCAGTACTGCCTTCCAGCCTGCCATGTCTTGTTTTGCTCTACACTCGAAATTATTTTTAAAGGATTCCAGCAATACAAATTCTGCTTTCAGAAACAAACACAAGCGGGGCACCTGGGTGGCTCAGTTGGTTAAGCAATTGCCTTCAGCTCAGGTCATGATCCTGGAGTCCCGGGATCAAGTCCTGCATCGGGCTCCCTGCTCGGCGGGGGGTCTGCTTCTCCCTCTGACCCTCCCCCCTCTCATGTGCTCTCTCTCTCTCTCTCTCAAATAAATAAATAAAATCTTTAAAAAAAAAAAACAAACGCAAGCGACATGATGTGTATGCAGTTCACACACACAGCACACTGAAATGCCACCACACTGAATATCAGGTTAATATCCTAGCTAATTTGCTTTTAAGACAAATATTGTGATAACTACAAAAGAAGCAAAATCGACGTCAGTAAATTCTTATTAACATTCATATTTTGAGATACCGTTCAGAAATTTGTTTAAAGGCCCAGACCAAGGGAAAAAAAGTTTAGACTTAATGAAAAGCTATCGCAAATAAATTCGACAATGAAATTACACATCTCCAAAAATGTGTCCTCTTTAATAAGAATACAAGAGACATAATGAACATATTGATTTGCGTTTATAACATCACATTTTTAATCAAGAAAATGTGAAAAAGATATGGATACATTTTCTGTGATTTTATGCCACAACCACCACTGTTCAGTAGATCATTTAATATCAAACAACTGCACTAACCTATCGTGTTCCATTCTCCCATTAGACAGAAACACAACTTCAAGATGGCTTAAAAATAATCGTTCAGGTCATTCTAAAATGTTTTAGTCATAAAATTAGCAAAATATGCCTTCTATTCCTAAAGCAAACATTTCAAATATAAAATGTACTTGCTCTACTGCAAGCATGTGAACTCATTCTACATGCAGTTCCATTTCTAAAGGTTGAAACACCATCCTTTCATGAGCTAAATTATGGAAGTTTCTGTATTCAAAGAATTACTTTGCAAGACTATAATGATATATTACTTTTATTACATAATATTTAGTAGTCATGCTCAATCAACAAGGTCAACAGAAACTTGTAAATATGCTAAATGACACACTACATATATTTTCATTGTGGTAACATTAATCCATTGCCTTTATTCATATAGTTTTGCAAACTGGGGAATAAATAAAGATACAAACATAAGAACTTTTCTTAAGCTGGTAAGATTAACAGGGGTTACAATTTTATTTACTGATAAGCTAAGCTAAAGACGGACTCTGACCCTGGTAACACAAACTCAAAAGTAGCGCTTGTTCAAAAAAGTGTGGTAGAGGCTGCACGGAAATGATACCTTGTGGTCTCCATAGTGGTCTATTTTGAAGTGATTTTTTTTTTTTTTTAAATTGCTGAACTGTGTTACTAACTCAGAATAAAAAGTAACTAGTCAAAATTTAAAACATTCTGATCAAAATGGGTCTGCACATGCCTTTCAAAGCCCTGCTGGTCATAGTCAGGAGGGAATTGCTCGCTGCACATTGGGCACACCTTCCAGTGACTTTCAACATGTTCTTCAAATTTGCTCTGATCATAGTTGGGAGGGAACATTAATTCACAGAGGGGACACTTCTTGTGAACATCAAAGCTTAAAGAAATAGGAAAATGAAAGAATTATGTATTTCTAATAGCAATAATCTTCAGGATATGACAATGTTATATTTATCTAGTCAAGCTAATATCCACCCTAAATGACTTACCTTGAAAATTTTCAGTTACTTCAGAAATCTCTTTCTGCTTCTAAAATACTTGCTACTGACAATTGCGTAAACCACTGATAAAGCCTCTAAATTGAGTTTCACAATTTGACGAAAACATTTTTGTTAAAATCAAGCATATTATGTAAAATGAAGCTTATTAACAAGAATTTCTCAATTTTTAATTAACAGAAAATGCCTTCTGTAAAACTATAAAGATTAATAGAACTTATAATTTCCCAACAGTATATTCATTCAAACCTTACGAGTATTTATTAGCACTGGTTCTCAAAGTATTACATGCATCAGAATCACTGGAAGGCATGTTAAAACACATATTGCTGGGATGCCTGGGTGGCCTTTAGCTCAGGTCATGATCTCAGGGTCCTGGGATAGAGCCCCCAAGGCTCCCTGCTTAGCAGGGAGTCTGCTTCTCCCTCTCCCTCTGCCCCTCCCCCCTGCTCATGCTCTCTTAAAATCTTTAAAAAAAACACACACGTATTGCTGGGACCCACACCAAGAGTTTCAGGTTCAGGAGATCTGGTACAGCCTGATCATGTGCATTTCTAACAAGTTTCCAGGGACCATACTTTGAGAACCACTCATCTACATAACCCAAATTCTACACAGGAAAAAGAAAAATTACCTGGAATCAAAGCAAAAGCCTGCTCCATGCCCACGTAAGTGCTGACTTGGAGCGTCAGGAGCAGTGGGCACATTCTCCTCTTCCTAGGCAAAAAATAATTTTGCAACTTTTGAGCAAAGTGAAACTGAATGTAAATTCCTTAATTCAAGCATAGTATAAAGGAATTAAGATTACCCTTTCTAAAATCCTACTTCTGTTACCACATTTTCACATAAAGATTTAAAAGTCAGTTTTTACAGAGCATTTCACTATGAACTAAGTCTTACCTTCTTGAAATAAAAAGCAGTGCTTAGTGGAACAGAGAATACAGCACACCTGTATGTGTGAATGTGTGAATGACAAACCCTGTTGTAAATATCTAACAGACTGTCAAGTAAGATTCCTAAAAATCTATAAATCTGAAAGAAAACATTGGTTTGGATTTCTATGTCGACACATCCCTGTGGTCTTTGTTGTTGTTGTTAATAGACTCCACATCCAGTGTGGAGTCCAACGTGGGGCTTGACTCACGACCTTGAAATCAAGACCTGGGCTAAGATCAAGAGCCAGGAATTTAACCCACTGAGCCACCCAGGCACCTGCCCTGCTGTAGTTGCTTTTTAGAGATCTGTATGCTCTCTATCAACAACCAAATACAGAGCCTCTCACTTCACATCAAAAGCAGTCACATCTCCCAAATGCCCATTTGCTCTCTTCCTGAGCAGCTCTGTTAGCCGCTCTCATGTTATGAACAGTCTGTAAATAGGTACAGCAGGCACTGATGAACGTCCTTACATTGCTGGGTAGTTATGCTCGTTCCGGAGCTGCTATTAATGGGCTAAGTAGTCAAGTCTGTCATGGTAAGAGGTACGAAGAAAATATATGTGGTGTGAAATTTGAAGGAAACAAAGACAAACTGACTTATCTTGTTGGGGGGGTAGGCAGGGGAGGATACTTGGTTATTATTTTGATGATTATCCCTTCCTGAAAGGTCCAAGAAAGGGTAAGGGGCTCTTTTTTATTTTATATTGATCACATGAGAAAATATTTTTGCTTATATATGATTCCCTGCTAAATAACCCAGTATGTACGTATTTTTTCAGTGTGATAACATTAAAATAATCCCGGTTTCCTTCATTCTTACAGTTTTGCAAACTGCGAAATAGATACAAAACAGAAAAAACTTTTAATCTTTAGTAAGATTAAAAGAGGTTACAATTGTTTTTATTGATAAGCTGAAGACTGACTCTGACCCTGGTAACACCAAACTCAAAGTAGCTCTTGGTCAGAAAAGTGTGGTAGAGGGGCGCCTGGGTAGCTCAGTTGTAAAGCATCTGCCTCCGGCTCAGGTCATGATCTCAGAGTCATGGGATCGAGACCCGTGTCTGGGCTCCCTCCCTGTTTCTCTCTCCCTCTTCCACTCGCCCTGCTTTTATTCCCTCTCGAGCTGTCTCTCTGTCAAATAAATAAAATCTTTAAAAAAGGAAAAAGAAAAAAAAAGTGTGGTAGAAGGTACACGGACGGGATACCTTGTGGTCTCCATCGTGACCTATTTGAGGTGATTTTTTCTTTAACTGCTAAACTGTATTACTAACAATAAAAAGCAGTCAAAATTTAAAACATTCTGATCACAAGTCTGTACATGCCTTTCAAACCCATGGTGGTCACAAGTCGAGGGAACTGCTTGCTGCACAAAAACAAGATAAATAAAACTAGCCTAATGAAGGATTGAGAAATTGGGGAATAGAAGACTTTATATACTTTAAGAATTAAGCCTACAAGTAACTAAAATTCAGACAGGTTTTAAATCTGGAGGTACAAAGACGTAAGATGATATAGCTGAATCAGCTAAACCTAGTATGTATGACAATAAATTTTTGATTGTGTGTCACGGTAGTGCTAGCTGCCAGATCTGGGCCTTCCAGCAGCAATACTTGAAACAATGATTTCCTTAAAGAACTATATATAAAATAATGACAATGAATACAATTTCCCCATTTATCTTTGAAAAAAGAGGCGAACTTTAAAATTTTGAAATGCTATCGAAGAGAATAATGGAAAAGAAAGGGGAGGTCTTGATGTTTAACTATCAAAATTCTTGATGATGTATACTTGTAATAAAACGCCACTTTCCAAGGTCCAAAAATATAGCCTACACCAATTTACTGCTTTCATGAATCAGCTAACAATAGAGTTTGCTGCTCAAGTGCTAGACTTAAACCAACCTATCTGACAGTTAACCATGGGGGGGGTGGCGCAGGGGAAGCAATTTTTTTTCTTTACCTTTACACTTTCTAAGCCATATATAATTTGGTAATGATAACCCCATTAATTCGTACCTTCTACCACCTATTACCTAATAAAAGGGGAGAGGGACTCAACAGAATTCTAGATGTTATAATGAGACATAAGTGCTCATGAAATAAGAAATCACCTATACTCAGTTCAAAACCAGAAAGTGTGTCGTAAGTTCTCTGAGTAGCCAATTCATATAAAGTCTGGTGATCCTGACACGCGAAATGACCAAATTTTCACTCATGAATACATTTATTCTATTTTACTCATCAAGCTTGATTAATTTCCAAAATCATACTGGATTAAATATAACAAATTAGACTGGAAGTAAGGTTACACAGGCAGGCCCACTGTCAGCAACAAAAAATGGCTACTAGTAAAAAAGAAAAGCGGACAAGAACTCAAAACATCAGTAATATTTCAGCACTGGATCACACAGCTTCACTAACAAAACATGAAGACACTGTTTAATGTTCATTTTTAAATTAATAAACTAGAACAATCAAGGCTGTATTAGGTATTCTTTAAGAAGGCAGAGAATCATGTATTCTATCTGAGAAAGAGTTCTGCCCCAAACTGCTAAAATAATTACATTTTAGTACTGGAAACAGTCAATGCAAAAATATTTTTGAATAGGTTTTAAAGTACTGGTACCTAGTCTGTTAGCTAAACTGCCAAAATAATACCAAACTGAAATATATTTATGAACAATCCCAAATAATTATATCTTAAGAAAACATTAACAGCATTTTAACCTCCACAAAGATCTAAACCACCTTACATTGTTCATCTACTTTGAGAACCATCAGCACAATACTATTTCTACTACAAAACAAAGGAAACAATCTATAGTAATATACTGAAGCTCTATATGAAACTCAAAAACTTATGAGATGCCCAACTCAAAATCTAGTCTATAAAAATTCTTGGGGCACCTGGCTGGTTCAACCGAAAAGAGCATGCAACTCTTGATCTCAGGTATTATGAGCTCAAGCCCCACAATGGGGTGTAGAGATTACTAAAAAATAAAAAGTAACCAAGAAAATATTTTTTAAAAAAGAATTACTGTTTTCTTCTCAAAGTATATAACCAACTTAAACATCTGGAATAGCATTAAGATGGGTTAATCTCTTGGACAATAAAAGAAATTCATAAGGTTAATCATACTAAATTCAAAATAAGGCTTTCAGGGGCACCTGGGTGGCTCAGTTGGTTAAACAACCCAACTTGATTTCGGCTCAGGTCGTGATCTCAGGGTCGTGGGATTAAGCCCCATGTCGGACTCTGAGCTTAGCAGAGAGTCTGCTCCAGATTCTCTCTCTCTTCCTCTGCCTCTGCCCTCCCCCCCCCTTCCCCGTGCACACTCTCTTGCTCGCTCTCAAATAAAATCTTCAAAATAAGGTTTGCATACTAAATTAAGGTCACTAAAATCATACTAGAGTTAATCATACTAAATTCAAAATACACTCGTGATTGTAAAAATATAATTACTATATGATACAGCAATTCATTTCCGGATATATGTGCAAAAGAATTTAAAGCAGGAACTCAGATATACTTGTACACCTATGGTCATAACAGCATTAGTCACAACAGCCAAAAAGTGGAAACTCAAATGTCTTATTAATGGATGAATGAACAAAATGTGCTATATACAATGGAATATTATTTAGCCTTAAAAAAAGAAATTCTGACATTACAAAAATGGATAAATCTTGAGGACATTATACTAAGTGAAAAAAGCCAGT